GCTGCTATCATCGGAGTGAGTCTCTGGTGGTTACTGAAAATTCTTTGCTCCCACGCTCCGCAGTCCCACCCATTGCACCTGCTGCTGTCGCTGGCCCCATTCGCACCCACTGCCAGCACCTGGTGCCAGCCCCGATCGCTCAGCCCCATCAGTAGGTGCGAGCGGCAGCTGCTGGCCCTGATCACCCCTTAGGGCTTCTTCACCTCCCCCTGCTCACTGCCAGCACCCAGAGCTGGTCCCGATCATTCAGTACCATCAGCAGGTGCAAATGGTGGTTGCTGGCCCCAATAGCCCCTGAGGCCTTCTCCACCTCCCCCTGCTCCTGAGCGTTGATCAGGGCAGCCACCGCCACTTGCAGCCACTGATGGCACCGGCCCCGCTCACACATGCTGCTGGTACCAGCCCCAATTGCTCCGCACCATCAGCAGGTGAAGCGGAGCCATCAGTGCGTGAGAATGGCAAGGGCAGGAGCAGGGCTGCCAGCAGACAGGGGACCAGGGGCCGCAGCAGGAGGGGATGGGTAGGGGCACGGAGAATGGGCCAAGACCCGCCCCTGTGCCCATCACAGTCTTGTGACCCACAGTTCCTTTCAAGGTGCACAAATTTGTGCACTGGGCCCCTAGTATGTATATAAGATCTTTAGTTAATCTCTTCCCACCCGCCCAGCACCCCCCTTCCCTCTGAGATTCATCAGTCTGTTCCATGTTTCCATGCCTGTGCATTGAGCATCTGCCCCTGGTGGTCAGTGCATGTCATAGTTACAGGTCAAATGGTCAAACAGTCACTTAGGCTTTTATATATATAAATAGATGTGTACACTACTATTGCTTGAAATATTAAATTCTTACCACAACATTAATAGCTAACATTTATAGTGTTACTAAATGCCACAGAACTTTCTATACATTATCTCATTTAATCTTCACAACTGAACTTTGTATACATTTTCTTATTTAATCTTCATTTTAGTCTGGAAGACTGGGACAAGTTCAGTAATTTGCCCAAGATCACAGCTAGTAAGTGACAAACTTAGGATCTGAACCCAAGCAGCCAAACATCAGCCCTCACACTTTTAACCTATCTGCTCTTATATCTACCCACTTCAGAGTCAACTCTTGTATACTTCTGGAATAATTCTCTCAAATTAAATAAAAATAGTGAGCAAAATAAAACAAAAAATTCAACACATAAAATGGCATTTTTCTCAACTAAATATAATTTTTTGGTTCTACAGGTCAGTAATTTTCAACTTTGGCTTTGCCACAATCCCATGAGGTAACCAATTAGTTGCATTTTCATTTTATATATATTGACTCAGTGGTTAGTATGCTTACGGTATAATATTTATAAATCTAAATTATAATTTTATGACCTATAACCTTTTTGCTGAATAATAAAAGGCATGACATCCTAAAGATTGCCAGAAAGATACATTTTAAAGGGAAAGAACATGCCAGTAACATATCAGAAGGAGAAACACAATTTTCAAAGTAATTTTATATCTGCTTTCTGAAAGCAAATGAGTTATTTTACGTGACTGTAAACATGTGTATCTCTAACTACACAACAGGGAAAAAAATAGTAATGGAAAAGGCAAAATCATATTTACTAAAGAAAAGCTTCAAAAAATAGATTTTATAAAATACTAGAGGCCCAGTACACTAAATTCATGCACTGGTAGGGTCGTCCCTACTGGCTGCCAGCTGCTGCTGCCAGGTGCTCCCTCTCTTCCCCTGGCCAGCCCCGCCCCCTAGCAGAACTCTCGGTCAAGGGGATAATTGCATGCTACCCTTTTATTATATAGGATGTGAAGATAAGAGATGTAGTAGTACTTTGGTTTAATATTCTAAACAACAAAAAATGAGACATGAACATGAACATGTGAAACAAAAAAATGTGACCATCAAAAAAATGAGAAACTAGAGAGAAGGCAAATTGGGGAAAAGGAAGCAAGCAAGAGATGAAAGCCCTAGATAACCTCGGCAATCCAGTTCAAAGCTCAGATCTTGCTGAAACAGCCCCTATAATAATGCTCTGGTAGAAGAGAGTATTGTGGCCTCATTCTAGGAAAGAACTGAGATGATTTCCTGAGAATGTACTAGTGGGTGAAATAGATGACTAGTAATAGCAAATCAGCTGAACTTGTAGACCAGCGGTTCTCAACCTGTGGGTCGCGACCCCTTTGGGGGTCGAACGACCCTTTCACAGGGGTCACCTAAGACCATTGGAAAACACATATAATTACATATTGTTTTTGTGATTAATCACTATGCTTTAATTATGTTCAATTTGTAACAATGAAAATACATCCTGCATATCAGATATTTACATTAAGATTCATAACAGTAGCAAAATTAGAGTTAGAAGTAGCAACAAAAATAATTTTATGGTTGGGGGTCACCACAACATGAGGAACTGTATTAAAGGGCCGTGGCATCAGGAAGGTTGAGAGCCACTGCTATAGACCAACATATTACGGCCTCTACCTCTCCACTAAAGTCTTTCTTCTAACCATTCTAGATGACAGGAATCTGACACTCTTTGTAGGTTACACTACTCAGTTCAGCACTTATTTGGATTCTGTTAAGTGTTTCATATGCATATATCTTCCCAACTAGATCATTAACTTCTGGAGAGCAGAAGCTACCCCATTTATTTTAGTTTCACCCATATAACCCAGCACAGTGCTATGCTTGAATCTTGAAAAATCACAACATACAATTAGACCATTAAAGTTTGAGGAAATCTTAGACTTATGTAGTCTGGACTCTGTATCTCAAAAGCAAAGACTCTAAAAGTAGTTAAATGTCCACTAGCCTCAAGTCAGAGCTGGGATTTGCACCCTAATCAGTTCATCCTTTCCCAAATAGCCTCTAATTTCCTCCATTGTGATAAAATAATCACCTATTTAGTCAGAAAACAAAGTAACAGCACCAGTATGTCAACACCTTTAGTAGATTCGATTGGCAGCCTATGTGCCTAGGTCTCTGAAGACTGCTTTATACACATCATTATATTTTATACTCCCAAGAACTCTAAGAGATAGGTATTATTAACCCAATTTTTAAAATGCAGAAAAAGTGCTCAACCAGCATGGCTCAGTGGTTGAGCATCTCCCTATGAAACAGGAGGTCACAGCTGGATATCCGGTCAGGGCATATGTCCAGGTTTCGGGCTTGATCCCCAGTGGGGGGGCATGCAGGAGGCAGCCGATCAATGATTCTCTCTCATCATTGATATTTCTATGTCTCTCTCTCCCTCTCCCTTCCTCTCTAAAATCAATAAAAAAAATTTTTTAAGGGAAAAAAATTCCTTGGCAACATTTTCAATCCATCATCTGAAAACTACTTTGTCTACTTCTGGATATATTTTCAGGACCTTGATATATTCTCCAATCCCAGAAAATGTTACCACGTTGGTTAAAAAACAAACAACAAAAACATTAAAAAGGTATAGTCTTACTGTTCAGTTCTATCTGTCGGAAACCCAGAGTAGCCTTTTTTATTGCGACTGACCCAGGTATATTCCTAAGGAACTGTCCCGTCTCTTTTTGATTAATCAAAGTAATGAATACGAGCCTAGTTTGAGTATTCATATGACATGGTTAAGTGCTTGTCTTTATTCACACCTTCCTAAATAACATAAGCATGCCACAGATCAAAATCCAGAAATACAGAAAAGCCTTCTAAGGCAGAGTAGCCGGGTGCAGACTTCTATGTTCACCAGACCACAACGCAAAGACGATCTTCATCCTTTAACCACATAAAAACTACAGGGGCTCTTCCGGAAGCTTCGCCGCTGCCCATCCACACATCACTGCGGGTCGTGAAAAACAAGAATGCCAGGCCTGGACTAGCACTCGCTCGACGACCCACTCAGCGGTAAGCAAGTGCAGAAAGTGGCTGGCCCTGGAGCGGGGGCACTGTTTACTTACAAGGGAGGATACTCGTGGGATGGGTAACGTGTTGCATCGTCCTCCCCTGGCTCCAAAACAAAAAATAAAATAAAAATATAAAAATGGTACCCTGACGAGCTAATGGGAGCGTGGGTCCATTCCCAAAAGTTTTGACCTCCCTTTTTAATTGCTTAAGGACAAATGCTCAAATAGGGCACCCGATACAAGGTGCTGCTTATATGAGGTGCTGCTTGCAGCATAACGTGGAAGGACATCACTTTGTCCAAGAAACTGTGTTGTTCCTCCATACTCCCCCGCCCCCCCATACATACACACACACACACACACACACAACACACACACACACACACACACACACACACACACACACACACACACACTGAGCCACATGGGAGGAACTGACAGCGTCATGCACTCAGGCGCAGGGAAAGAAGAAATCAAAACTAAAGGCGCTTCCTCCTCGCCGGAGAAGCTTGGGGCACGACTGGGGGCTTCAGGAGCGGTTCCGAACCAGCAC